CCTAAACCCCAAGCCCTAAACCCCATCTTTTTGTCAAAGCTTCAGCAGCTTGTCATTGGGAAAAGCGATTCCGTAGAGGCGCTGGAGGGAATCCAGATTTTGATCTCCTAACCAGTAGGCCGACGAGTTCTTCGTCACCATGAAAGCCTCTGTCTAAAAGGGATGAACCAATTTCATTAGATGATGAGATCCGTGGTATTCGGATCCCTGTTCAAGAAACCAATAAATGTATCTTGAGGTTGGGAGTTCGAGCATTTTGGGGGTTTTGGCTTTGGATTTGTGGTTCAGGGTCTTGGGTTTAGGATTTCTCGCGTTGGGCGTCCAAGGTTGAGCCTTTCAAATCAAAGGCTGCAGGGTTTTTAGTTGAGTTTTTCAGGACTCTGTTCTACTTAAATACGCTTCAGGGCCTTGGCACGGTTGGTGTTGGGCAGGTGGGGCCCACGGCAAAGGTCCACCAGATCACCACAACGGTAGCAGCTGGTCGTGGCACCATTTGGCACCTTGTTCGTGATCAGCTGAACCTTGAAGGGGTTCTCTTTGAAGAGCTCGAGCGCGTCCTCTTTGGATAAGACACAACGTTCAAAGAGCTGTGACTCCTTGCAGATCTGCGCCGCATGCTTCTCGATGGCTGAGAAGTCAGCATCGTTCAGCTTCTTCTCTCCATAGTAGCCATCGTAGTAAAAGCCGGACTCCAAGGCGGGGCCGATGGTCAGATGACAGCCGAACTCTCGCTCAAGGGCTTGACCCAAGATGTGCGCGCTCGAGTGCCAGAAGACGTCCTGACCCTTTGGGTCATCAAACTTTAACAGCTCCATGCGACAGCTGCCCTCTAAAGGCCTTGTGAGATCCCAGAGGACGCTTTGCTCAGGATCTTGCTCCTCAACCTCGTCCTCAACGTCTGCCACTACGCACTGTTTCAAGGATTCTACGGCTTCCTTGTAGATGACCTTGGCCACCACCACAGACTCCGCCAAGCCTTTGGATATGGACATGGCTATGTCCATCGGGCTTGTCTCAAAAGCTTGGCCATCTTTCAGCGAGCCATCAGGGAGCTCGATCTTGATGTCCTTGCGAGGCTTCTCGGCCATGTCGGCAGTGTACTTCTTGTAAAGCTTTTCCCAAACTTCCAGGCGGTGCTTGATGAACGGAGCAGCCTTCTGCACTTCAAACTCTCCCTCAAACTTTCCGGTCTCACCAATCAACGGCCCGCTTCCTGCGAAGGCTCGCTTGCCCGGCGCCGCCATGGCTGTCTTTGAAAGCGTCTGAGGCAGATGCCAGCTTGGGCCTCGTCAAACTTCACTGGGCACTTTCCCCTGGACTTGGTGAACACTACTCAGGGAATTCTCATTCCACAGCTGATGCTCCTGCACGTTGTCAGCCTGGCAATTTTCGTTTCGGCTGGCCGAACACAACACCACATCTGCAACAAATCTCTAAATTCCCAAGGCCTGCCTCAACAAGTAGATCGTGTGGCCTCACAGGATCATTTTAATTTTAGCATGGAGCTTGAACCGACATTAATCATTACGTGTACCTACGTCGCGAACAACTAGCTGGAGTCGTGGTGACGAGCCCTCTGCGGATTTCCCGTCCCCGCTCAGCCCTCCATCATGGCCAGATTGACGCATACTTTGCGAAGCGCATCGATCGCACTACGGTGGATCTGGCAACCGGCGAGATCGGGCAAGCAAGCGCCCACTAGAGCCTCAAGCGCCGACTGTACCCCCACCCGGCTGAGGAGAGATGGCGGCGATCAAGGCTCGGGAGGAAGCGATGGGTGTGTCTGTCTTGTTTGGTCGCGGGTTGGCTTCGGCACCCCCTGAAGCAGAACAATCCGACGTTCCCGGCGGTCCGAAGCTGCAGCTAAGGGCATCCTGGAGCTCGTCCTCTTCTGATTCACTCCTTCACGCCCGGGTACGACGAGTGCCCCAACCTAGAGACATACGGCGGATGGCCACTGTCTTCCAATGGCGGCCCGGGCT